CTAATGGTTCTTCTTGCTTCTATTCAGCATTCCTAGAAACAATGTAGTTCATCTTCCACACTGAAATGAAATTCATCTTAACAAATATCTCTACCCTCGAGGATGAGAGTTAAACTCCTCAGCATGATGTAGTATGACAGTTCTTGTGTGGCCCCTCCCTCTGTGTTTTTCCAGGACTCATCCTTGTTTATAGGATTGTTTTTTTGCTTGTTTTTAACCTGGAATTACCTTCATTCCTGAATCCTTTGTCCTTTAGGGGATTCGTCTGATATCTCATGATGAAGTTAAGCTCTTTCTCTTTTATAGTTACAGCATTTTATTTATAGTCAGTTCCAGAACTTAATGCACTGTTGTAAGTATTTTTTAAGTGCCCATCTTCCCTCCTCTAGACAGTAGTTCCTTAGTAGGCATGGATAATGCGCCTAGAGAACAACTTCAGGTATTGAACAGATAGGTATGTTTTTAAATACTTGAATGAACTGAGGTTTGGTAATATTTGTTACCACTAGGGCTTATAAATCATTCAGTAATTTCTTTGAAAGAAGAAATATTTTGTGAGAGTTTAAGTTGGTGAGAAGTCTTAGACATTCTTGATGGAAAGGAATGTCTGTTGGAGTAGATCAAGCTCATCTAGTGTGAAGACCGACACAACGTCACTTATTTAGGGAAGTGAAGGTTCTTAGTAGAATAAGATGATCTGGTAAAACTAGTGGTTCTCAGTTTATATCTAAATATCTAGACTATATATTAATTGCTATAACAATTTATTTTGAGATTTTTCTGAAACTGGTTTTCTCAGGACTACACTTAGATTTAGTGTTCACGCTAGTGACCACTAACAGAACTATGTTAGATAGTGAAAGAATATCTAAGTGTTCCCATAAAGAAGACTGTGTGCTTTTGTTCAGAATAAATCATAAGGCTAACAATTGTTAAGATGAGAAAGAAGGTTTGTTTGCTATGTAACTGGAGTGACTAGTCTTTTCACATTGTATGTAAACATAATACCTACTGTGTACAGAGAGAACTCTGCTAAATATTCTGGGGGAAACAGAGGAAATAAGAGTCTGGCTTCTGCCCTTAAGGATTATATTTTTGCTAGGCAGAAAAGCTAGGGCCTGCAAAAGGATTTATAAGTTATCAAAGCAATGCATTAGTAAGTATAGGGCAAGACCTGAGAGGTGGAAAAATTTAAGTCTTAAAAATCTACAAATCAAGAATATAATTTCAATGGTAGAATGACTTCCTGGTGGAATGAATTTTGATCTGAGTCTTTGAAGGAGGTAATAAACCTGGATAGTCAATGAGCTATCCCAAATGGGTAGCCCAGTAGCATGCCCAAGGGTCGATGAAAGGAGATAGCAAATTGTGTCATGCAGGAGATTAGTTGGATAAAAAAGTATCTGTACGACTTGGTAATCAAGAAGCATTCTTCTACCTCATACCCCGCCCCCCCTTTTTTTTCTGTATAAAGCTAAACAGGAATCAGGAGTTGATTAACTTTGAATTCCCCATAACAAATAGCATAGGTCTTTATACATAGAGGAGTTTTCATATTTATTAACCAGGTTAATAAGACAAGCAAATGCTTAGGTACATCAGAAACAAGGGCTATATGAACATGACATTTTCTGATAATGTTACATCAAATATGTAGTACAGTGTGGGAGCACATATTGTAGATTGGAATAGTGAAGTGCCTCGGAGAGGGCCAGATGCAATTTCCTCTCTGGCTTATTGGCTATGGATTTTGTGAACTTGGGCTAGTTCTTTTGCAATATGTGCTAGAATCTGAGAACCATTTCTTAGCTGTCTGCTCTTCTGGCCTTAATTGCCTCATCTATTGAATAACTAATATCTACCTCATGGAGTTGTGAGAGTTAAATGAAAACTAGCCCAGTGCCTGGCACATATTGGGTACTCACATAAATATTATTAATAATCATGATAATAGTTATTTTTATTATTCTTAATTGAAATGTTGACATGCATATATTTTAAGTGATAAAATTTATTCTTGTTCTACCAAAATATTGAGCAAAAATATAAATGCTGTACACTGCTATTCCGTAATACATCACTGTAGACCCTGTTTTACTAAGAAAACCCTTTTTATGTCAAAATTTAATTTTTGGAGATAAAAGTCCAATTCTCTGCAGTAGGAGTTTAAGGAGTGTTTTTTCAGGACCTGCCTTGGACTCTTCCAGGCCTTATACAAACTTGATTTCTTTATCCTCATAGCAATTCTGAAAGAGTTGGCCATAGGTTTTATCCCCATTTTGCAGGTGAAGCAATTAAGGTTCAGATGACAAGATTAGTGAGTGGCAAAGTCATTTCTAACTGATAATGATAAAAAGATAGGATAAAGTTAAATTTTGAACCAGTGTCTAAAATAACTAGGAAGTAGGATAAAGCACAGTCAATATGAACACCTGCAAAGGATTACTGAAATGAGACTTCACCTGTCTTAAGTATGCATGCCATCTAATTAGTCTTTCAGTCTGTTGACTATGAAAAGTATATGTTAGTTCCATTTTTCAAAGACAGTTGTCTTTTTGGTAACATAAATGCCAAATTTTACTCTTCATAGTTTTCACTGAAAATTTAGGAACTTCAGTTTTCAAGTCTTCCAAAGAGATGATCTATCATACTTAAGCAGTTAGTTGTCTATTAAGTGTTTTTATAAATTTTTTAAAGTTTTAATTATTATGAGTACATAATAGTTTTACATATTTATGGGGTACATGTGATGCTATGGTACAGGCAGACAATGGGTAATGATCAAATCAGGGTAATTGTGGTATCTGTCACTTCAAGCATTCATCACTTCTTTCTGTTAGGAACATTCCAATTTTGCTCTCTTAGTTATTTTAAAATATACCATAAATTATTGTTTGCTATAGTCTATTAATTGTTTTTAAGCCCTTAGAGCGAAGATATATTGCACTATAATAAATACAGGATCCAGTCACTGTTTTGACTTGAAGGTTCATTTTAGTGTTTAACAGGCTCTATAGTGTGATACAAAACAGCATTTCGGGATTCCCAATGACTTAGACGTCAAACCTTGGGGTCAACTTTGAGACCTTCACTCTATACCCACATCAGTTTTCAAGCTCTGCATATTTTTTTCTCTTATCACTTTTCAAAGCAAATGTCAATTCCTCCTTGAAGCCTACCCTGATCTCACCAATAATGTGTAGTTTCTTCTACCTTCGTGTGCCCTTGATACTTGGCATTTAATCACTATTAGTTTCAGCCCACTACTGAGTGTGATATTTTACTTTAAAAACAAGTTTCTCTATTCTACCATGAGACCTTATCTTATTCAATAGTGTGATTCTACTGTCTAACACAGTGCTTGGCAAATAGTGAATATGTTACTTAATAATTTAGTGAAATGAATTGCTTTGATTATGGTGAAACCTCGATAAGAGTTTTGACACCAGGGATAACACTTTGTAATATTCAAAGACTAAATTGAGAAAAGAAGACTGAAAAAGCCAAATATTATGGATCATATTCTTGAAATTATGTAGTTATTGTGGGCTTTGTTATTGTTGGCTTGCCAAAATGTGGCTCAAGGTTAGACCAAAATATTTTACTTCACAAATGGTAACCTCCCCCACCCCTGTATTAATAGTTTTTTTGGTAGCTTTCTTTTAAAAGACCATGATAAAGCTAAAGGGATAAAGATCAAATTAATGCCCCCAAACTAGGTCTGTGACATTTTATATTAAGTGTATTGCCCTCCCCCACCAACTACCATTCTGAGAGACTGTTGGTTTTGAAATTCAAAGTAGAGAACCTTGGAGTTGTGGTGTCTCTCTTTCTTTTGAAGAATATGAGCTCACCATGCATATAAAACACACTCATATGTAAAGAAGTAAAGTGAACCCTGCCTAGTAGCAGTCTAGATAATGAAATGGAAAGTTTGTGTCTGGGTTGCTGGGAATCTTCCATTTTGCCTTGTTACTACAACAATCACATTGTAATCTAGAAATTATGAAGGATTCTTCTGCAGAAGGCGGTGGGTCATGTAGTGGGTCACGGTTGGAAGCACTGAGTAGGTTCAGTAAAGCTTGTCCAGGTGTCGGTCCAGAAGGGATTTTACAATTGTAGAAACTCAGATGAGTTTTAACTTTGCAATACTTTTTGTTCTTTTTGAGTGTTTCTTTTATTTAGACTTTATTGAAAAATTTTCTTGTTAGTGATCAATATTTTCAATATTGTGATCGATGTAAACCTCCTCCAACCCCCAAAAATATTAGGATCAAATTTTAGTTATTGTAAGAAAAAATGCAAAATGGTTGTTAAAATATTGAGATAGCTTTGAGCAGTGGCTATTTTTTAAATGCTTTTAATTGAATGAAATATGCTAAATGATACAGATCTGTGCTTTTTAAAAGCATAAATGTTTTGCTTTTATATATTGCAGTTTAATGCCCCCTTTATAATTAAAATTATTATTTAGGTTGATTGTTGATAATATTTACCAGTGTGTGACCTCAAGGATAGCTGGAAGGTCCATAATTTAAAAATTTAAAAATTTTAGCTGTTTAGCTGATGAAATATATCAATGTATATTAAAAATATTTTATTATAACATAAATTAACACTTTGTACCAATTCAAACGTCAAGATTCCTTTTTGTTATTTTATAAAATATGCTGCATTTGACCCATTCATCAATTTTATGAACAGCAAAAGTAAATTTAGTTCATTTACATAATTATGTACTTTAGAAAAGACCAATATAAACAGTTTCTTATCTGCCATATGTTGAAATGCTTTAGTAAAGACATAACTGCCTAGTCAACAAAGATGGCATTGAATTGCACTGTTTTGGAAAAAAAAGTTAAGTGAACTAGATGCCTGTTAATCTGGTTCTTTAAATATCATAAACAAAAGTATCAGAATGTGTTTCCAAGGACAAAGGCAGGATTTTCTGGCCTTTGATTGGTTGCTGCTTTGCCCTGTCTCACAGCCATCCTTAATTGGCTTTGGGTAGATTGGAATCACATAAGCAGGGTGACATTTATTACTTTCCTCCCTGTTTCTTTGCACTGAGCCCTGAGATTCCCAAGGAGTAACTGTAAAAGATTTCTTTCGTTTTGTCCATGATCTGCGAGAGAGGCTCACTCTAAGAAGAGCAGGCATGAGTTTGAGTGCAAGAAGAGTCACTCTGCCTGCAATAACGCCAATAGTTCTACAGAAAAGGGTATGTGACTTCTTTTCTCTTTTTTCTTTAATTTTTCTTGCTGCTTTTTTTTTCTGTTACTCTGTGTTTATTAATATGTTAGAAGCTTTATTTACATATCCTTGAAAGAGACTATAATTCATTGAGGATATAGGTAATTAAAGGACATATTATTGGAACTAAACTAGGAAAAAAATGCTGCGCTAGAACATCGTTATAGTAAAAAACCTCCATGTAAAAGCAGTTTGGTCTCGATTTCAGGTCATTGTGATTTAGAGAATGTATTAAAGCTTTTTCTTTTTTTTTTTCCTCCTACTGTAACTTTAGGCCTCTGCCTTTAGTTCAGTAGGAAATCTGCTACCTATTATGTTTTTATATTTGTTTACTAAGGAACAGTTTCTTTGTTGCACTATAATTCATAATATATCCATCTATTCGTTGTTGAATGGACTGTGTAATTGTTTTACTGTTTAAACATGTGGCACCAGTTCATTATCCTCAAGTTTCTACCCATTTCTATTGAGTTTCTGGCTATTTGCTTAAGAAAAACTTTCTATTAAATTCCCCTCCGAAAGTGCTTTCTCTTAATTATTAATGCAGTGAATCCTGTGTATGAAACTATTTTATTTTTTACAAAAATAGTTTTTTGTAAAGATTATTTTCACGTTTTACTTCCAGCATGCATCTTATAAGGTGATACATACACCATGTAATGTAGCCGTGCTAAACTTACCTTGTCAATACACCGCATGGGAACATCGTGCTGAACTCCTTAAGGAGCCAAACGCGTTGCATGGAGGACAGCACTGAAACACGTTTCTGACAATGTGCTTTCCAAATGGTTTTGATGACACCAGAAACTGTAATGTTTATTTCCGTAGTCAGCTTTTAATAGTTAATTGTTAACTAACAGTGTATTTCATTAAGTCAAAGGTCATGTTTTAATTTATTTGAAACATGCCAAATCTAACAATTGAGGTGTATGATTTTTAAAAGAGTGTCTCTCTCTTTATTGTTTTTAGCTTTTAGGTTTCAGTTTATTTTCTTATCCAGTCGACCGTTTATTTACTAGTGACATTTTACTCAGCATTGGAATAAATGTATGGTAATTTTGCAACATGTTCTTTATCTTTCTTGAGGCCTTTCTCTCATCTCAAGCAAATTTAATTAAAAATATTTTACTTTGAGCTTCAATATTTTGAATTGGACTTAGCATTGCATTAATAATAACATGGGCTCTCTGACTCATTGGGGATGTGAAAAGGTATATTAACATATTAAATCTGTGTTCTTATGTTTGAGTTCTTCTTTATCCAGTTAATATTGCAGTTTAGGTTGACGAAGAAACTTTAGTCAAGTGGGTTGTTTTTGATGACATGTTGGTATGATGGAAAGCGTACCATCTGGACTTTCTGTTTACTGGCTGTGTGACCTTGGGCAAATCACTAAAACTCTCGGAATCTTTATTTCATCACCTATGCGATAACAGCTGAGGAGTTTTCAGTAAATGATCTCTTCTGTCTTATTTTGTCTATAATTCTGCGAATCAAATAATGTATTTTGTATTTTCATGGTAAGAGTAAAATATTTAAACCATTTCTTATTTTTTTAGACAGAGTATAAAACCATTAGGAAAGGTTGCTGTCATTTTCAAGGACTTTGAGCAGTTAATCTAGGGGAAATTGGTTATGAGTAAAAGTTGGCTAGAAAATAACTTCTAGCACTGCCTGTTAAGTAGCAAAACAAGATTACTTGGAAAGCTGTGATTATTATTGATGTTAGATCTGAGCCGCCAATGGACACATCTTTGAGATTTCTCATGGTTTTTTTTAATAATAAGCTTCTTATTAGGTTTCTATGATAATAATCATATGTCAAAATTCCCTAAACCCAAATCCATGGTTATTCCTTTTCAGTGAGTACACATATTAAAAGTGTATATAATTTAGCACATAACTGTTTGCTGAAAGTACTTATGCTATTTCTTTCTTCTGACATTTTAAGCCCCAAAGAACCCATTTGTCTATTCGATTGTATTGAAAATCTTAATATCTTTTATTTTAAGAATTGGGTATTTTCTGACTGAAAAACATCCATCTGCTCTTGTCATACTGTGGTTAATTTTTTTCTTTCAAGATAGGAAATTATTCCACACTTGAAATTAACTTATTTTCTGCATGTGCCATAATTTAAAATGATCTTATAAATCAGTACAAGTATTTCTGAGAGTTTATTGGGGGCAACTTCTCATTTTCCCAAGAAGGCAGGTGCTTTTCCACAGGTTTGGCATAAAGTTTGCTCGTCCCGAATGAGTGTCTCTTGCAAGATAATTTACCAACTGGAATCCTAATCATTTGAAAGGCCGAGAGCATTTCTGAAAATGCTCAATAACACTAGGGGGTAATTTTCTTATCAGCTAGTATGTTTGATACAAATAGCTATAAGATTCTCTTGGGAATGATTAGGAACTTGAATTTTAAACATGGTCCTTAACATGGTGCAGGTCTATTTTGTAGCAGAGCAAGTGCACTTTGATCCTTGAGAAACAAGGTATTAATATTTTGGTAGATTCTCTATCAAGTAAATGGAAAATAAATTTTTGACTTCCTCTAATTCTATTAGGATCTGATTTTCCTGATTTTAGTGAATCAGAGTTCCAGCAAAGGTTTCTTCATAACCCTCAGAAATGATCACATCCTTACTAAGCATTCTGAATAAATCTTTTACCTCATAGCATTTTCCTCAGTTAACCACTAGGTCATGCTTTTTTTTTTTTTTTTTTTCCAAAGGAGAAGACTGAGTCTCTTGGGTGTTGAGTGACTTATGCAAGGTCACCCAGAAGGTCAATGGCAAAGCTAGAAATAGAATCTAGATCTTGTGACTTCCAGTATGTTTCTCCTAGATACGTGTTACCTCCTGAAATTAATGTGGTAATGAAACTGCCTTTTGGTGTGTATAATCGCGATTCAGCTTTGAGTCTGGAATTAACCTAGGCAAATCCTTTCATCTTCCTCTGCACCTTTACCAACTCCCATATGCTCTAGTGCAGAAAACGTTTTATTCAGGAGCGAAAGCAATGGTAAGCAGCAGCCTGTGTGTGTGAGGGAGTGAGATGGAAAGACACTTTATACCTGGAACTCTGGATTGTCGCATTACATCAAGAAAACATTTAAGGTCCCAGAGAGTTAACAAAAGATTCAATCACTGTAAAGTATAAATTAAGTACTATATAAAATTCACGTTCTTGTATAGAAGGCTACAAGATCAGAAGGCCAAATGTTCTTGCCCTGATTCTGTGGGTAGGCATGTTTCATCCCTCTCTCAGATTAACATTGTTTTTAAATTTTGTTTGTAAGCGTTTTTGCATTCTTTATCCATACTATAATTGCAAGAGGTGTACATAAGCACACAAGATCCTGAAGTGTCTTGTGAAATCTGAGAGAAAAGCGGGTCTCTCTATGTTTACGATATAGTTTTCTTAAGATTTAAATCCTTTTGAAAATTGTAAATTCATGAATATGGAGCAATGCCATTCATGAGAAGATCTAATTCTCCATCCGTGTAAGAGAATATTTTATGTTATAACCCTCTCTACTCAATACAATTAGAGTCATTGCTCTGATTTTCTAAAAATGATTTTATGGAGGAAAGAATACATATTGGATATGTATTCTTGAAATTAACTTACTGTCATATCGACATATCTCTATTTTCCCCAGAAACTTCTAAACATGTACAAAATCAGTCCAAACTTACTAGCACTCACTGTGCTTCAGGGCCTGCCGCCTCTCCGCTTGCCCAGCTGTACCTGAAGCCCCTGCTCCGGCACAGTTTTCCTCCTCGTGCTTCCCGCAGCATCTAAGGTTTGTATCCTTGTGTCCTGTGGCCTAGAGACAACCCTGCTCCTGTTTGCTTTCCCAGATGCTGTCGATTGTCCAGGCTCAGCTCAGGCTGTGTGTTCTCATCCTAGAAGCCTTCTAAGACCCTTTCTTTTCACATTTATCTTCATGGTGTCTTGATTAAGTATCCATGGATATGGCTTTGTTACTCATTTATCAGTTCCTTAATTATAGCCCTGTGACATCAATTTTATTATTACCTTTTATAATATTTCAGTCTTACTAGCTATTCAAAGCTAATATACTTCTTGGTTTTTCAAATATGGTTTTTAATCTTCTCTTTATATCTTTTTTTAAATTTTTGTATATCTTGCACCATTTGGTTTTCAAAATTTGTCTATTTTTGGTCTTACAACTACATTTTTTTTTTTTTTTTGAGACAGAGTCTTGCTCTGTTGCCTTGGGTAGAGCGCAGGGAAGTCATCATAGGTCGTTGCAACCTCAAACTCCTGTGCTCAAGCGATCCTCCTGCCTCGGCCTCCAAGAGTGCTAGCTAAGATTTCAGGCGTGACCCACCGCGCCCAGCCACAACTAGATGCTAATGTTTTAAGGGACCAGATCTTTTGATAAAGTGCTTTGTTCAGTTATAGGCAGAATTTAATTTCATGTAACCAGAAAACTCAAAGAACAGTGGTTTAAAGAGGGAAGAGATTTATTTTTCTTTTACTTGAAAGAAGGATCAGTCCAAAGCTAACATAGCAGCCCTACAATATCCTCAGAAAACCAAACTCCTTATTTTTTATTCTAGCTTCTCTAGTGTGCATCATTTTTCCTTTTAGGGAAAGATAAGTGTAAATATCTAGTCTTCTTGTTCACAATCTTGGCTTAGAGAATGGGAAGGACCAAGGGCAGGCTGGATAGGTTTATCCCATGTTAACATGCCATTCTGGAATAACTAGGAGCTTCTGCTTGCATCTTACTGGCCAACTGAAATGTGGCCAACTCTGGATACAAGGGAAGTCAGGAAATGCAGGCCTCGAGCTCAGCACACTTCCCTTCTCACCAGAATCAGGATTCATCAGGAAGGCAGAGGGGAAGGGTGGCTGTTGGTGGGCAACTAGCCTTCTCCACAAGTGCCTCAAACGTATTAGGCATTTGATGAATATTTGTCTCTTGGATTTT